CCATGGTAACTACAGGTGCCACTATCTGCTGTCGCCATGGTAACTACAGGTGCCACAAAGACTGTCTGCTGTTGCCATGGTAACTATAGGTCCAGAGGAACAGATACAGGAGTGGCATTAAGAAGGAAACGGTCCATAACTTTGGGCTCACAAAGATTTTATTTCTTTACGTCAGGTCGTTTGTCATGAGCGAGCAACAGCTGAAGGTTTGAGTGTTTCAGTTTCTTTGTGTTTGTCTTTGAAACATTTGAACCTCTCATTTGTCTTCTGGTTCTCTGGAGCATTATTAAGATTTCTTCACCAACAAAAGTCAGTTCTGAAGTCAGCTTTTGTTTAAAGAGCTTTATCTTGTAAGATATTCCAAAGAGCATGTGTTTTGAGAATGAGCTACAGAAGTTATGTTTGGTATGAAAATATGACTGACATGCAGTTTTACAGAAACTTCCACTGTGGTTGCCGTTCTGCACAAATCAGATGTTTGAAAAGCAGCAGTCATCCGGAGCGGAGATCAGAGTTACTCACGTCAATGAGCTGCTTGACTTCTGGCTTTCTCAGGTCGCTGCTGATCTTCGCTGCCAGCAGCACGCACGCAGCCGCCACCAGCTTCCTGTTCTGCTTGTCTAGACGACCCTGCAGCACCAGCTTCTCAAAGTAAACAAAAGCTACAGCTGTGGTGACCGGTTGCAGACCACACTCCTCGCTCACGGCCCTCATCTCCCGCTTCAGGCTACAAGAGAGAAGTCAACACTTTCAAAGAGTGTCCTTTGGACCTGATCTAATAACTCAACCTTTCAAAACACCAAGTCTATAAATCAAAACGTGCAAACCTTCTGATCTTGCTCAGTGTCAGCTTGATGTGAGGAAACTTGCCCCTGAAAGTCTCGTTCATGTCCTTCTTCAGGTCAGACGGCTTCACATACTCAATAACAGTCGTCTGCAGAGAGGAACAAACAAGTCAGTGGGTCAGAACCAGTACACGTCAGCAGGAGCATACGGGGATGGGTTTCAGTTTGGTCTGGAATATGTCAGTTCTCTCACACACACACACACACACACACACACACACACACACACACACACAC